CCTAGCCAGACATATTATATTGCTCTGCCATACAATAAGGTAGATACTAGCCATATAAGGTTATTAAACACTTAAAATGTGGCCAATACATATGAGGAACTGAATTTTTAATTTTTATTTAAAGTTTAATTTAAAAGTTAATAGTTGATTCAGTTATCAGAAAACTTTTTAAGTATGTGAATCTATGTTTTCAACTGTAAATCTTTAAAACCTAAACACATCATCAAGTATTTCCAATAAAAAAATTAGAGTCTATGCCTACCTGGTATGGCTCAATGGTTGACTGTCAACCTATGACCTATGAACCAGTTGCAGGAGGCAGCTGATCAATGATTCTATGTCATCATTGATGTTTCTATCTCTCTCTCCCTCTACCTTCTTCTCTGAAATCAATAAAAATATATTTTAAAAAAATAATTTCATTAATTACAGATAGAAATAATGTTTTAGATATATTGGGCTAAACAAAGCCAAAAACAAAACAAAAAACACCAAAAAAAACAGAACATATTCATACATATATATTTTTTTTCAACCACAACCCAAAGGGAATCTTTATGGAATATAAATTAAGAATATTGGCCCTGGCCGGATAACTCAGTTGGTTAGAGCATCATCCCAATATGCCAAGTTTGCGGGTTTGATCCCCAGTTAGGGCACATACAAGAAGCAACCAGTACATGCATAAATAAGTGGAACAACAAATCGATGTTTCTCACTTTCCCTCCCTCTCTCTCTCTAAAATAAATAAATAAAAACTTAAAAAATTTGAGGATACTGAACTTCTGGAAAATATTTGCAATATGCACGATAAATGAAAGTTAAATAAAATATATTATTAAAATTAATTTCACTTGTTTCTTTTAGGCTACTAGAAAATTTAAAATTATATATGTGGCTCACATTATTTATCTACAGAAAAACACTGATACAAGGGAAGAGGAAGTTTGACTACATCTAAATGTATATGTAACTACAAAAAAAAAACTTTGACATTCAAAGGCAGTAAAAACTGTGATTGTTGTACAAATGACGTGGGGATGACACTGATACACAGATAACAGTATAAATATTTAAAGTAGATGTATAGGCACTACCGTATATATGAACATGGTGCCATCTAGAAGACATAAAAACCTACCTTGCTTATTTCATTCACAATAAATCCTTCCGAAGCTGTAATCTCTGGGATACCATCGAGGCCAATTCCTTGACAAGTTAGGCTGCCATACAAAGTTGGTTTTCCTATATAGCACAAAAGAAGAATGCCTTAAAAAATAGTAAGGATTTAACATTTTTCTCCTTGAAGACCCAATTCAGGCAACTGTATAGATGGTAGGATATTGGGTAATACAAGAAAAACAGGTCCTGGTGTTAAAAATGAGGCGAAGTGGAAAGAATACTTGCTTAAGCAAAGCTAATTTGGGAGAAATATACTCAAGGGCTAAAAACTAGAGACAAAGATTTTGAGATACAATGTACTATTTGTAGAGAAAGCTACCAATGTGATCTAAACTTAAGTTTTACTGGCTGTGAAATGGCATTCTTCCAGGATGAAAGGTGAAGATCAACATAAATGTATGTGTTTATCCACACTATATAAATATAATACATAGTAAAGAGTTAAGCTTCATTAATCTGGAAAATGTACTTAAGTAGAACACTGCTTTTGCAGTAATATGGGCTAAATAAGATATAATCCTACACAAACATATGTAGATGGTAGAATGAAGTTAAAAACATTCTTTTCTAATTCCTTTCTGCACCATATATGTATATATATGTATACTAGAGGCCTGGTGCACGAAGTTCGTGCACGGGTAAGGTCCCTAGGCCTGGCTGGCGATCAGGGCCGATCGGGGTCTTCCAGCTGCCAACTGGGGCCTTCCTTCCCCCGGGGGCCTTCCCCCAGCTGCAGCCTTCCTTTATTTTGCGACCCCAGCTGCAGCCTTCCTTTATTCTGTGCCACCTGCTGGTGGTCAGCACATGTCATAGCGAGCGGTCGAACTCCCAGTTGGTCGTTAGCCTTTTATTATATAGGATATATATGTATATGTATATGTATATGTATATGTATATGTATATATACACTTCTATAACAGCCCATAATACCCTGTTTCACATTTCTGACCTCCTACTAGACTGTGAAGTCCTAGAGTTCAGAAAGTAGCAGGTTGCTATAAATTATTCAGCAAATAACTATTGGTACAAAACTAAAATTCTAGGAGTAAGAGGAAAGTAAAAACCATCATGGATTCAGAGTGGGGGGCATCCTAGAGAGGGTGAGTCTTTGAAAGAAAGATAGGACTAGGCAGGAGATAAGGGAAAGGAAACTCCAAGTCAGGGAAGGGGCATGTCAACAACAAAAGAAAGAACAAGGAGAAAGGAGTAATCAATTAATATACTAGTTTGGTTACAACCGTCATGGAAAAGGTAGCTGAAGGACGTTAATAGAGGAACTCACAATCTAGGGTAGAAGTTTGGACTAGAGAAGATCTAGTGAAGATTTTGGTAAGGAAGTGGCATGAAATGCTAGTTCAGAAATATGCCGCAAAAATAGGATTGAGGAATTCTGTTTTTTGTCCCATTCCATGAGTACTGTGCAAGGACTCTCGGCCAGGAGAAAGTAGGAAGCTTTCTTCGGGGATAGCTTTCTCTTCCTCTAAAGGGAATGCGTACAGATTTAAGGATATTACCTGGGGGGTGACAGCTCAGCCAGGCCTCCCCTTCATCCTTCCTATGAAGAAAGACAAAGCCCCATTAGGCTCACTCAACACTGAAAAGGATGCCAAAGATGCAAGGGGGAAAAAGTTAACATAATTTCCAATTTGGCCATAGTACACAGGCATGATCTAGTCCAGTGATGGCGAACCTATGACACGCGTGTCAGAGGTGACACGCGAACTCATTTTTTTGGTTGATTTTTCTTTGTTAAATGGCATTTAAATATATAAAATAAATATCAAAAATATAAATCTTTGTTTTACTATGGTTGCAAAATCAAAAAATTTCTATATGTGACATGGCACCAGAGTTAAGTTAGGGTTTTTCAAAATGCTGACACGCTGAGCTCAAAAGGTTCACCATCACTGATCTAGTCTAACACCCCATCCAGGCATAGATTATTCTAAGACAAACTTTGTTTACTTGTTGAAGAACTATTTGTGGATTAAGTGTCTAATGCATATAATGGAGTTTACTATTCATTAATAGCTGCACAGCTTTGAAACATAAAGAATATATTACACTTCGATCATTGGGGGATTACTGTAAGCCAGACCCTGTGCAAGGCACTTTGCATATAGCATTAGTAATCTTCACAATTTAACAAGATATCTTTTATTATTTCCATGTTAAAGATTAAAAAAACAACAACTGTAGCTCAGAGAGACGTGACCTGCCCAAGGTCACCTACCTATGAAGCAGGAACTGAAACCTGACTAGTATAGAAGGTCTGTGTTCTACCACCTTACAGACTTTTTTCATGTTTTAGAATGCACCTCCCCAATCATTCAAATCGATATCTCACCTAGGGTACAGGAAAGGGCAGAAGCTTTAGGTGGCCAGCAACTATCAGTTATTTGCTGCACAATCCTGGGCAAGTTTCTTCCTCTGATTCCGATCCTGCATTCTCTCATAGGCACCTCGTGGCCCTCAATAAATGTTAGTGTTCTTCCTTTATTATTTATCACACATTCTGTGTTGCAGTAAGTAACGGGTTATTTCACTTTAGCCCACTTAGTAAGGTGTAAGTTTCTTTTTTAAAAAAATATATTTTATTGATTTTTTTTACAGAGAGGAAGGGAGAGAGATAGAGAGTTAGAAACATCGATGAGAGAGAAACGTCAATCAGCTGCCTCCTGCACGCCCCCTACTGGGGATGTGCCCACAACCAAGGTACATGCCCCCGACCGGAATCGAACCCGGGACCCTTCAGTCCGCAGGCCGACGCTCTATCCGCTGAGCCAAACCGGTCAGGGCAGGTGTAAGTTTCTTAAATGCAGGAGTGTTATTCATCTTCACCACTGTTTCAATGTGAAAAACCTTATTAGGAATCATAGTTGCCATTCATGGCACTGCAGTACTCATCCTGGTGCTAGAGAAATAAATATCTGTTAAAGAAATGAACGGTTTGCTGTGCATTCCCCATTAAACTGTCAGCTCGAGGGCAGGAGCCACCCCTTCAGCGTGGAGTACACGTCTGAACTGCACCTGAACAGCACCGCGCATCCACCTAGGTCGGCGTTCGGACACGGTCGGTGCTCCCTGGTTCACTGAACACCACGGTCCAATATGACAGACACACCCAGACAGTGTGGTGGTGGCGAGGGCTGGGACTTTCGCAAATAGCTGACGATCAACAAATACCTGGGCCTCCTGCCTCCCAGCTGTCCTGTCTTTCTCCAACTCATTGATCCTCGTTCTGATGCTGGAAACTCACAGCGCTTATGTGTCCCCTTAGCCTCGGGATAGCTCTTCTGAGAATGAAAACCAATGACCATGTGGGTTTGAGACTTCTAGACCCAGTTCTCCCTCAACAATTGGTGAGGTAACGCCTATGAATAGATATCCTGGGTCGGGCCTGGGTCTCCACGAAAAGACCACAATCACTACCCGCCTCCTTTGTCCCGGTTCTAGGATTGCATTCACCTGAGGGCTTGGGCCCAGTCGCTCTGAATCCGCAAAGGCGCCGCCATCTTGACCACACCTCCACCAACCCGCCTCTTCCGCTCTCTCCCGGAAGTGGCTCCTCCGAAAGGGCTGTGGCGAGTGCGGGGGGGCGGGATCCACACCGAGAGGCCACCAATGAAAATGCGCGGCGGGACCTTCCTCTCCGTCCTCGCCACCCGGTTCCCACGCGCGCGCGCGCTCCTCGCAGAGGCTGGCTCCCGGCAGGAGGCTCGGAAGCGTTCCCGGTGCGTGCCAAGCGGACGTGCGGGAGCGCGCGTTTAGGGCCTCTCGTCTGCCTTTTCGGTGAGCACCGCCCGCCGCGTCCTTGCTCGGTGAAGCGTGACGGGCACTGCGAGGGCGCAGGGCCACCTGCATTTCTCTGCGTCGCCATTCTTCCCCTGCCTTCCCCATCCCGACCAGCTTCCCATTCCAGCTGCCGACCCCCTAGCCCGCCCTGATCCCTGAGCAGGGAGGGGTCTTCCTCTTTTTACTCCAGGGGAGACTGAAGCAGGGATGAGGTGGGGAAAGAGCAGGGTGGCACCTACGGAGTCCCGGGGTAGCCCAAGCATTTGGCATCATTACGTTAACGCTGCAGTAGTTCTGTGACTTACATGTTCCTTACGGAGGAAACGGAAAAAGACTGCCGGGTAAAGCGTTGCCTGTATTCGAACCCGGATTTCTTGGCTTAGGATTTAAGGCACTTTTCTTTCCCCTGTGTTTGCTCTAAGGTTTGCTCCTTGCCTTTAAAGAGCTCACAGTGTAGTAAGAAGAGGAAACGTGTGCAGTAATAGGGACGATCATTATTGAACTCTGGACGGGCCAGGCTCCTTTACCTGCGTTATCTCATTTAGTCTTTAACAATCCTGTGGGGTATATATTATCTCTATTTTTCAAGAGAAATTACGAAGTGATTTGCTCCAAGTCACCCAATACATGAGTGAAAAAGCTAGTTTCCAACCCAAGTCTGTTTCAAAGCCCATTTTCTTTTCTCTCTTTTTAAAGAAAATACATTTTATTGATTTTTTTACAGAGAGGAAGAGAGAGGGATAGAGAGTCAGAAACATCGATGAGAGAGAAACATTGATCAGCTGCCTCCTGCACACTCCCTACTGGGGATGTGCCCGCAACCAAGGTACATGCCCTTGACCAGAATCGAACCCGGGACCCTTGAGTCCGCAGGCCGACCCTCTATCCACTGAGCCAAACCGGCCAGGGCTCAAAGCCCATTTTCCCCTTCCTCAGGTTATACTGCCCCAAAGCAAGTGAGTTTTATGTAGGGCTGTGGAGTTGCTTAGATCCTTCTGGTCCCTTCCCCATTGCCCTCTAAGCGCCCTAACTTGGCTGACAGGCCTGGCTGTGATCAGATGCTTTCTCATCTTGCCGGTTTCATTTGCTTTGTTTTCTCCTCATACTCTGTTCTCCAGTCACACAGCACTTTCCCTTCTTCCCATGTGTCAAATTCTCTTTCAACCCCACCCCCGCCCCCGTTCTTCATGGACAGGAGTCTTCTTCCTTTCCATCTCTGGTTAATTCCTATTCATTCTCCAAGTGTCAGTTTACAAATCACTTCCTCTATCTGTGTCTGGATTAGGTATCTCCCCTGTGTCCCGCAGCTGAGCTATCTGTGCACAGTGTACAGTAAACTGCCTGTTTACTCGTCTGGACTGTAAATTCCGTGAAGGCAGGGACTGTATCTCTGGTCACTCCTCTGTCCTCAGCTCTAGAATAGTGCCTGGTACATGGTAGGTGCTCAGTGATCATTTGTCGAATAAGCCAGAGAGACACAGGGAAGGTATTAAGCAGTTCTAGTTTCTTTATAGCCTGTCATGGTGAAATTTGTACAAAGGCTGAGATAATTTCTCGTCAAGTCTTTCTAAGTTCTCTCTGTATGCTACCTCCTACTCGGTGTTCTGCAGCAGATGATCTTGGAAGAAGTTTGGGCAAATACACGTCACATTACTAAGTACTCTCAGCTTACAGACTCCTCTCTTGCCCTGGCCACTGCATGCTGTACATTACAGCCACACAACTCTCCATTACTCCCGTTTGTCAAACCCTACACATTCTTGAGTATTAAACTTTGTTCTTCTCCAGCCATAGAATAAGGCCAATATAAGAAAAGAAGAGCCAAACCGGTTTGGCTCAGTGGATGGAGCGTCAGCCTGCGGACTGAAGGGTCCCAGGTTCGATTCCGGTCAAGGGCATGTACCTTGGTTGCGGGCACATCCCCAGTAGGAGGTGTGCAGGAGGCGGCTGGTCGATGTTTCTCTCTCATCGATGTTTCTAACTCTCTATCCCTCTCCCTCCCTCTCTGTAAAAAATCAATGAAAATATATTTAAAAAAAGAAAAAGAAAAGAAGAGAGATTCTTTAGGGGGTGAATCAGAGATTGCGTCTCCAGGAAGGTGACATTTCACCTAATTCAAATTCCATTAGCAGAATCCATTCCAGCTTATTGTTGTTCTAAGCATTCTCACATACTTTATCTCATTCCGTTTAGTTCAAACCATTTTGTAGGCCTGCTCTCTGCCAGGCCTAGTGCTGAGGACACTAAGTTGGATCAGGCCCATTATCTGTCCTCAAGTAGCTTAGTCTCCAGAGAGAGACATAAGCATCAATAGGCTATAACAGTGCAGTGGTCAGTGTTATTTATAACAGAGGAATCCCATATATAATCATGTTCCTCCTCTAACCTTGCCTCCATTGCTGTCTAGAGATTCCCAAAGATGTCATCTCAAGGACATACTTGGGCCCGTCAGGTGAAGAAAGAGGGTGAGGAAGAGGACCCCCTGGACCTGCTGATCTCCCGCTCTGGCTGTGCTGCTTCCCACTATGCAGTGCAGGAGTGCATGGCCCAGCACCAGGACTGGCGACAGTGCCAGCCACAGGTGCAGGCCTTCAAGGACTGCATGAGTGAACAGCAGGCAAGACGGCGAGAGGAGCTGCAGAGGAGGAAGGAGCAAGACAGTACCCACAGCTGAGCCCCCAAACCATCTATCCCCAGAGGATGGCCTGCAGAAACTAGCACCCAGACAAATCCTAAATAGTGGAAGTGTGGGCCAAAAGGTATAAAACTCCGGGATAGTCTTTGGGATTGGGGTTGAGAGCCAGGCAGCCATGGGCTTGGACATGACTGTCATAAAGAAAGAGCTGTCATATTTTATTTGTTTAAAAATCTTTATTGTTGAAAGTATTACAGATGTCTTCCTTTTATCCCCCATTAATCCCTTCCACCCTACTTCTCCCCCCACCCCACCTTCACTGCACCATAGTCCATGTCCATGAATTATGCATATAAATTATTTGGTTAATATCTTCCCTCCCCCCTCCCCCCATAGCTGTCTTATTTTTATGGTGAGACCCACACATCCTCACTCATCTTATTCCACGAATATTAAATATTGACCAATATTTGTCATGTAAAACAAAGAGTGGGGTTAAGGCATGTTCTTCTACCCTACATCTTGGGTCAGTGTGCCAAGTACTGAGCTAATTACATGGACATTGAATGTTAGAAGTAAATTCACAATCTAAAGGTAAATTGGTTACCTAATATGTCTTCACCTATTCAGTCATTGGTTCAACAATAGCCAGTTTTCCTCAGACCTCACATGCCAGGCACTGTTGGAAACTGATGGGACAAATAATATGATCTTTGCCTTCATGTCTAGTTTGAGAGACAAATTAAACAACACTGGAACAACTAAATAATTCCTGCAATGATATAAATGACTTTAATAAGTTGTTCTGGATGTTTCGTTTGATCTAATAGAAGGGAGAAAGCAAATATGGGGGAAAAAACATTGAGTGACTCTCATATGCTAAAGTCTATTGAATTAACAGATGTAGAGTCTGACCTCAACACACTCCCAACCAAACAAACACACAATGTTGGCTTGACGTTTAAAAAGTACATTTAACATAAAACACAGATTTTTCCGCTTTTGAAAAATAGGGAAGCTGTCAACATGGAGCTTATATTCCTACTTGACAACAATTTGCTGGAGCTAAATATGGTTTCTCTTAGGTGGTTGCATTCTCTGGCTCATGAATTGCCACCACTTCTCATTTTGTTTCCATGGAATTATATTACCCATTCTGTTACTTTCTGCCTATCCCTGTAAGGCACTGACTGTCCTGTGCAAAGGGACGTATGCTGTCATCATCGTCAGTAATATTTCTTGTGTGTGTGTATCACATATCACATTTTATTTTATATCTATATAAATTAGAAGTACAAATCTGAAGTACAGTAGCACCTAACACTACCTTTGTGTGTTGGTATTTGGGGAGGAGAGAAAGAGAAAAGAGGGGAGAAGATAGGAATACCAGTTTAAAGAACAATAAAATCCAATTTCAGCCTTCAAGCAGAAGGGGCTGACTGGAGATATATATATATATATATATATATATATATATATATATATATATATATAGAGAGAGAGAGAGAGAGAGAGAGAGAGAGAGAGAGAGAGAGATGAATCTGTGTTAAGTGCTGTGGGTCATCAGAAGGAGTACTGGGGACGAGTTTTCAACAAGAATCTCAAAAAGAGTTAAAGATAAAGTAGGTATTACCTATTTGTAACATATATAACAGGAAGGATTACCATCTGTAGCAAATAAAAAGTACCATCTGTAGCAAATAAAAAGTATCTAGAATTCAATAAGAAAAAGCAAACAGCCCTAGCCAGCTTGGCTCAGTGGATAGAGCATCGGCCTGCGGACTGAAGGGTCCCAGGTTCGATTCCGGCCAAGGGCACGTGCCTGTTTTTCGGGCTCGATCCCCAGTAGGGGACTTTCAGGAGGTAGCCGATCAATGATTCTCTCATCATTGATGTTTCTATCTATCTCTCCTCCCTTCCTCTCTGAAATCAATAAAGAAATATATTGAAAAAGCAAACAGCCCAGTTGAAAAGTGAACAAAGTTAAATATACCTCCACAGCCCAGCTAGTGTTGCTCAGTGATTGAGCATTGACCCATGAACTAGGAGGTCGCCAGTTCAGTTCAGGCCAGGGCACATGCCTGGGTTGTGAGGGCATGCAGAAGGCAGTCAATCGATGTTTTTCTTTCATCAATATTTCTATCTCCCTCTTCCTCTCTAAAATCAATAAAAAAATTAAAAATCAATAAATATACCCACACAATAGGAAAATGTAAATATATTCTGCATCACTGATAGTAAGTCAAATGTAGATTTTAAAAAGTTTTATTATCGATCCTCTTGGCAAAAATCGAAGTATTTATAGTGCTTCTAGCAGAGAGGATGGGTGAAAGGACCTCCAAACCAGCTATGTGGAGGTAGCAAGTTTTGGAGGGTTACAGCTATAACAGAGCTAATGCTGGATGGGTAACAATATATTTAGGCAAAGGGTGCTTAAACCTTTTTCCTCAAGTAAATGAAAATAAATCCTATTTAATAGGCATACTAAAAGAATTAAATGAGATAATATATAAGTAATAATAAAAATTGTTAGCATTTATTGAACTACAGTGGGGCCTTGACTTATGAGTTTAATTCGTTCCGTGACCGAGCTCGTAACTCAAATTACTTGTATGTCAAATCAATTTTCACCATTACAATGAATTGAATGCTGGGCTGATGTTGTGGCGTTCACTGTGACATTTGCTGTGCCAACTAGCGGTGGGGTATCTGAAGCTGGCTTGTAACCCGAATTTTAGCTCGCAACTCAAAGCAAAAAAATCGGCCGAGAGACGCTCGTATCTCACTCGTTCGTCGGGACACTCGTAAGTCAAGGCCCCACTGTATTAGAGGCCCAGTGCACAAAATTCGTGCATGGAGGGGGGAGGGTCCCCTCAACCTAGCCTGCACCCTCTCCAATCTGGGACCCCTTGGGGGATGTCTGACTGCCGGTTTAGGCCCGATCCCTGGGACATCCCTCTCACAATCCTGGACTGCTGGCTACTAACCGCTCACCTGCCTGCCTGCCTGCCTGGTTGCCCCTCACTAACCCACCTACCAGCCGGGTTTCCCCACACAGCCTGCTGCTCGGTCATTTGGTTGCCCCTCACTAACCCCTCCTCTAGCCTGGTCGCCTCATGCAGCCTGTTCAGTCGTCAGTTCGGTTGTGATAGTCGCTTAGGCTTTTATATAGATAAACTAATATTTATGGAGCATTTAACCAGGCTGTCTGGTTCCAGAGTCTGTGCTCTCATTCCCTGTGATATGCTTTCAAATCCCACTATGCCACTTACTAGCTGGGCGATTTGGGGCAAATTACCTAACATCTCAGGCTCTTTTTTTTCTTCTAGAAAAATATAGTTATAATGCCTTTTGCATAGGCCTCACAACTAATAAATGTAGTCCTTCCTCATAGGGTTGTAGAAAGAATGAGTTAATATTGGTACAGG